CTCTATTTCTCTCTCTCTCTCAGGACACCACAGCAGTATGCAGTCACAACAAAGAAATGTTTAATTGTTCATGAAAGTATGCATATCACCCGCTGCCTCTTATGCTAAACTTTCAACACAGTTGGAGCTGTTGGCATATGTTCACATTCAGCTCGTCCCACACCAGCCTTCAGCTGTCTGTGTGACTCTGACGCTCATGGACCGACACATGCAGCTGAAATAAAGGCTGCAGACATGTTGAGATGTTGCTGCCTCATCAGAAGCAGAGCGACTGGCCTCTCTGCTGCATTTCTCTCTCTCTCTCTCGCTTGCTCTCTCTCTCTCTCTCTCTCTCTCTCTCTCTCTCTCTCTCTCTCTCTCTCCTAAAGCTGGAGCTGCATCAGGACGCTGCAGAGCAGGAGGCAGCGCTAACCAGCAGCATGTCAGGAGCTGCAGCCTAACAACCACAAACTATCAGCTGAGCAGCTTCACAAAGCTCCAAGAGAAGACCAGAAGAGAAGAGGAAGACGAGGAGGATGAGGTGAGTGATCTGAACCGGAGCCACCGACATGTGCATGTGCCGACAACAGCTGATTCAGCAGGAAAACCACTTCCTGTTCTGTAGCAGATATGAGTAAATAAAGAGAGGAACCCAGGTCCGTTCATGTGGATAAGAGGTTCTGATGAATCCAACACATCAGCTTTAAGACTAGTCTGCGCTCACTGACCCACACAGATCCAGAACCACTGCAGTACTCTCAGCTCCACAACCACTGGCAAACTTTCAACACACACAGGGACTTTCAGAACCAGGAGGTCCATGAGAAAAAGCTGAGAGGAAGTCATGACTTGTCCTTTTCTGGCTGACTGCTCTACAATCTGCTCTCATTCGAATCCTGACAGGAATGGATTTCACCTGCTACCATTAAAGCCCGACGTCTGGACCGAGATCATCTGGTGCAGAAAAACTGTTCTGGTCCTCATAATTAATCCCATTACTGGGAGGTGCGTCCAGAGATCAGAGTACGTGCTGTGAACAACTTGCAGCTACTGCTACACCGTATTTTGTCTGTAAAACTGAACAGGTTGGAGCCACCTCTGCGAACAGCTTGAATGTTGTTGACTCCCACAGTTGTAGATCTACATCTAATGATTACTTACTGAGAGTTTCATTAAAATCCATCCAGTGGTTCATGAGATATTTTACTAACACTACAGAACTGTATGCTCACAGATGTGCCAAAACATAACCGTTTGGCCTTTGGAAGCAGGTGGTCCAGAACCAGAGAGATGAGCTCAGATTCCTGCGTTCACCCTGACACACACAGAGCACCTGAATGCCTCACAGACAGCAGAGCAGCAGCTTCCAGAGGTTTATGTAAACAAAATCTCACTTCCTGTCCTTTCTGATGAGTGGCGTATGACTCATACAGGTTTGACTTTCAAGCCAAGAAGAGGAGGAGATCCACGACTGTTCTTCTCTGAACATATACAGCTGCACAGTTCAGAAAGAAATACTCATTTTATTTCAATAAAAACAGATTAGTTTTCACCTGAGTTCACTCAGGTGTGTGTTGAAATGTTTGTCCTTTGAAAGGTTTTCAGAGGACAAACTTTTCAACACACAGCAGATTGTTAGTTTCTAAACATTAAGGCCTATTGTCATACTGATGACAAGGTTTTAGATTATTACCATAAGAAATACGAGTTACAGTTTTCTCTTTGCTCAGGTTGGTCGACCACAGAAACTCATTATTTGCACACAGAATAAATACTGTGAGTTTCATTAAAATTCTTACAGCGGTTCATTCGATAATAAAGACATGGGCAAATACATTATTGCCCTGTTTCCGTTTGACAGTGGGTGATAAAAATGGATCTGAACACCAGAAAAAAGTCCAAAAAAATTTAGAGTTCATCACTGGTTCAAACTAAACTTTGTCTTATTCTCATTAAAGCTTTTCCAAACTCAAGAGTCCAGATGTTCTGGTTGAATTTGAGCTCATTTTGACTTTCTAGAACACGTGTCAAACACAAGACCCGCGGGCCATGTGACAATTTATTTATTTGTTTAGTTTTTTGCTCAGCATGAATTTTGTTTCTTTTATTTATGGTAAACTTAAAATTTATGATTAAATGCAACCAAATAAATTTAATACAAATAAATGAAATAAAAATAATTTTAATAAATTCCTGTCCCTGAGCTGTTGGCTTTAAGTAACTGAGTAATTTAGTTGGATAGCATGTCTGAAAATAAGCTGCTTAAAGTCAGCATCAACCATAAACTAAATAATGTTTCTGTATTTATTTCAGATTTAGTCAGTCAAACACTTGCTTATTATCAGTGTTTAAAAGAGGATGAGTTAAAACACTGTTTAGTCGAAGTTAAACATGAAACGTCCAAGTTCATTACAAATGGCCCTTCGAGGGCCACCATAACGCTCATGTGGTCCTCGGTGAAAACGAGTTTGAAAAGTTGATTATAAATCCATGTTGGACATTTCTACAGTAGTCTAGCTTTTTTTCTGCAATAAGATTAAACTAAAAAGACAGAAGATGTTTAGGTCTACAACCATTTCTATATTTAGTCACTAATGTCTCAAACTGAGCTGTTGTATCAGAGGAGTGTGTGGCTCAACAACCCAGACTTTTATATGGGATCACTGAGAAATGGTTGAGTAAATGTAGATATGTAAAATTTATCTTTATAGCACATTTAAAACAACAATGTTGACCAAAGTGTTTCACATGGAGGTAAACAACAGGAAATTCTGTTAAATATTTGGGTTCTGGGGTCTTTTGGAGGAATTTAAGATTTTACTTTGGCAATTAGATGTAACTGATAAAAACTTATTTAAACAAGTGAGGATATTTGTTGGGGTAGCATGGTGGCTCAGTTAGAGCTGATGCCTCTCAACAAGTGACAATTTAGAGTTACCAATTAAACTAACAGTCATGTTTTGGTCTGTGGAGGGAAGTCAGAGTGCACGGACAGAACCCACATATGCATGGAGAGAACATGCAAACTCTACACAGAAAGGTCCCCAGGCCGGGATTCGATCCCTCTAGGTGTTTTAGTAAAAATAAAAATGGGACCAGCACTCCAAAAAATACAGTTGTTTTTTTTAAGTCAGATCCATACTCTTAGAAAAAGAGATGGGAATATTCTGGAATAATAAAATACTTTTCTAAATTATATATTTCTTGTATTTTTTTCTAACCTGAAAACTACCGAAGTCTATTGAACTTCAGATTGTTCTAGAATGCAGCTGTTCTGACCCACAAGTACCAGGCTGTGGTGTTGATTTGTTCCTGTCTGACTGTAGTCTCTTCTCTCCAACAGATCTGATCATTGGGACCAAGGTTTGACCAATACAGAACCAAAGGGATCAATGTAATCTCAGGTGAGGCGGTATATACACCTGTCTGCCCGTGATGCTTTATCTGAACTAATCAGAACTGTCAACTACGATTAAAGGGCCTTAGATTTGATCTATGATCCCTCCACTGACACATGGCCTGCTTTATAACGTAAAAGCAGAACCAGGATTTCCAGGTGACCGTAGATTGGTTACATCCAATTTCATTACCTTCGCCAAGGGAGGAGGTAATGTTTTCTGTCGTGTCGTCCAACCGTCCGTCCATCCGTCTGTGGACAAAATTACTCAAAAACTGACGGACGGATTTTCATGAAATTTTCACCACAAGTGGGTATTGGCCAAAGGAACACACCATTAAAATTTGTTCATGATCCGGATCACGATCCGGACCCAGGAAAAGCCAATCAGCTTCAAGGAAGCTGACTGTAGACTTCCAATCTCATCGGAGCATTCATTGACGGGTCAACCCCCCGACTGTAGACATCCAATGGGATTGCTTGAAGCGGTGTAGAAGACCAATCACAAATGCGCATGGAAATAAAACTTTAGACACAGTTGTTTTTAAATTGAAAAACTTACTGTTTGAAGTTACTTTAATATAATTACGGATCATTTTCATAATCCATCGGCCTGCGCGTCCTAACAATTTTGTATTTTGTGTTTACGTTTTTGGAGTTTAAAATGGTATACTAACCCTAACTGTTTCTAAACATTTCATCTGGATGGATTTGAGAAATGAATCACTGGATGTACAACTAGAACTAATTAACTTGTGGAGTCAACCCAATTCTACAATACAACTAAACCTTAGAAATCACAAAAATGGCTCTGAGTCAGTTTCAACTTGTGTTGTGGTTATAGCTGCAATTCATGCTCTATACACAGATCACAAGGAACCTTGAAATAATTTGACCAAACCAGGTAAAACTCCAGTTCTCAACCTAGGTTTTAGTTTAATATTTATGACATGAAAGGCTGGTAGAGACTGGTATTGGTGAGTAGAGATGGATAAAAAAAACAAATATGAGTGGGGGCCTTGTAAGTGTGCCCATTACTTGCCCCCAAAAGAAGCTGGTCTTTATTCAAATCTTCTCATCCCTCAGATGAAGGCCACAAGGTTAGAAACACTCAGTGTTTTGAGCTTCACTGGATCCATAAAGGGATCCCCAAGGATTCCTTTCCTTTGACTGCTCAGGGCCAGACAGTGGCCTAAGTAGTACAAAGAGGTCTCTAATTCAGTGGCATCACACAGACCATTGTCATGGAGTCCCATCACCATTTTGTGGCGGTTGAGCAGATTAGACAGTTAGGACTCCAACCAGTGTACTTAGAGCTTGTCAAGGCGATGAGAGCTTTCCCAAACCTAAGATTTGGGCCGTTAATCAGTTCCCGTGCCTGTCTACAGTCAGTCAGCTCCCTCCACCAGACTGAGTGTTGATGTTTAATCCAGGCCTGTAGGGCAGTCCTACAGACTGTTGTTGAAATACCTACAACAGGGTCTGGTCCTTTAATACCAGATTTTGCAAGACAGTCAGCTCTCTCGTTATAAATGCCAGTATGTTCTGGTACCCATTTAACAGTAACACTGTTATCTCTCTCCAGTTGGTTGACTGCTTCGGCACACTCCCAAACCAGTAATGACGTAAAGAGTGGCCCTCTGAGAGCATTAATAGCAGCTTGGCTGTCTGCTAGGATGAATATTTCCTTTTGTGTACACTGAAGGTCTTTGAAAGATGCCACACACTAGTGGACTGCATTCATGTTGGCTTGGGATACAGTGAGAAACAACCTAGTAGGTAAAGTATCTGTACTCTCTCTATCTGGAGATAGAATGTTATGTTCTTATTCTGAAAGCCTTAAACTGAAAGAGTGGAATATTTTTTTCTTCTGGGGACTGTTGGTCTTTTTTCAGTGCAAAACATATTTGTTGTTTGTGGAACCAGCTCCAAAACAAATGGAAAAAGAAAAATGAATAATTTCTGCTTTCTGACTTCTTAACAAAAAGCATATAGTTTCTCATGGCACTCAGCTTCTTTACTACTCTAAAAACTGAACCCAGACAGTCAGAGATAGTTGTAGGTTCTGTAATGATTGATTTTAAAATTTTATATTTTTAAAATACTCTTCTACTCCATTTCTATCTTCTGCTGCTTATCCATAGTCAAGTCGCAAAGGTAACAGGCCCAGGAGAGAAACCCAGAACTCCCTCTCCCCAGTGACCCTTTCGAGCTAATCCTGGGGGACCCCGAGGCATTCCCAGGCCAGAGAGGATACATAATCCCTCCAGTGTGTCCTGGGTCTTCCAGTGGTAAGAGGCTCCAGTTATTGGGTTGGTATACTGCTCACCTGAAATGCCCTGACCTGTATTTGTCCCGTTTCTTATAGAACCAGAACCATGCCTGTGAGCTCGGTCAGTCTGCTGGTCCTGCTGCTGTGTGAGTTTCTGGGAGGAGGGGTTCTGTCAGTCTGTCCCTCTGTGTGCTCGTGCAGCGGGGGTCACCGTGTTGTGGACTGCTCTTTAAGAAGTCTCATCAAGGTGCCTGTTGGTCTGCAGCACAACATTTTGTTTCTCAACCTTTCCTTCAACAGGTAAGAACCTGCAGCTTGTCTCTGGAACATCTACTTCACGTTTTGAGTGAGATGAAAACAGACAACCTCTGATACCTCTGTAGATCCTTCTTCACTACATTCATAAACCTTCTCTGTGGTCTTCCTCTTTTACTTCTCCTCTGGCAGCTCCATATCCAACAGCCTTTGTCTGATAGACCCACTGCCCCTCCCCTGCACGTCCAAACCATCTTAGTCTTGCCATCTCAGTTTTCCCTGGGAGTTTTATTTATCTTTTATGTAAGGCTTCTGTTTCATTGTTGTCTTTTGTGCCCATTTCTGTTTTCAAATTTGTTCTTCTTTGGTTGTCTTTTTCGTAGTCTTTGAATTGGTTTTCGTTCTTTGTCGTCTGTTTTATTTGACATCGTTGTCCTTTTTTATTTTTTGACAGCTTGCAGGTTCTAGACAGCCAGCTCAGCTCATATGGCCACCTGCGGACCCTGGATCTCTCTTACAACCACCTGCAGACACTACCCCCAGCTCTGCCACGGTCTCTGTGGGAGATCCGAGTTGCAGGGAACCAATTACAGTCTCTAGATAAGAAAGACACGGCATACCACTGGAACCTGAAAGTTCTGGACATATCCCAAAATGCGCTGAATAAAGTGGTCTTCATCAACAACACACTGCTGAATCTAAAATCTCTCAACCTCAGCTGGAACAGGTTTTGGACTGTGCCCACAAACATGCCTCCCAACCTGGAGTGTATTGATCTGTCTCACAACTATCTGGTTCAGATTCTTCCTGGGTCGTTGGACCGGCTTCCAAAGCTGGTCCACTTTTATCTGCACGCAAACCGTTTCTCCTGGTTATTTGAAGGGGTCTTGGATAAGCTGACGGGGCTAGAAATGATCACCCTTGGAGATAATCCCTGGGCTTGTGAAGAAGAAGAAAACATGACAAGCCTCCTTCAATGGGCAGAACAAACCCAAGCAACAATTCTGGGATGTCCTTGTTACACCAAACCCATCTGTGGACAGACACCAAATAGAGAAAACACCACTCTGTTTACCTGGCCCTCACCATGGATGAACCAGAGAGAGGGAAGGGATGAGGCTCAGTCACCCGTCCTTTCCAACATCCATCAGGACAGAAGAAGTCTGTCTGAATCTGAGGAAAAACTGGTACTGCTGGTTCAGGGACAAACGAGTACACCAGCACCCCCACAGTCTTCAACCAAGAACCCCCAGAGCAAAAACCATGCTGTCCTTATCCACATCCAAACTTTTACCATGACAACCATTATCATAACAGCAGCATTCACTTCACTTTAAACCACTGCATTCAACAAAGACTGGGTCCACAGACTGGACATTCATAGACTTTTGATGGGAACCTAGAAGTCTACGCCAGATCAGGACCAACCTGCCCTGTCGGCTGGTTCCATTACAAGTTTTATGTCCCCTTCATGTAAATCAAAGGTGCCCAATCACGGTCCTCGAAAGCCACTATCATATATGTTTTAGATGCTTCTCTGTTTTGACATATCTGATTTAAATACAGTGGTTTGCAAAAGTATTCATACCCCTTGAACTTTTCCATATTTTGTCACATTACAACCACAAACATAAATATATTT